CCACTGTTTGCGCTCCTTAATGTGTATATCCGCGTGGCCGTTCAGTACGTGTATAGTACGTATATGGTATATGCATAGATGTTTGTATTCCGTTAGTGTCGCAATCCTTTGTTGTGCGAACTTGAGCTGCAATGGAAGAAGCAGAGCAGAAAGTACATTGTTAAAGAAGCAATCACGCCCTTGCTATTAGCCAAATACACGTCGTATTGCTGGCTTGTCTTGTGCATTTGTTGTTTGGGCAATTTGCCGCGCAAAATGAAGTCAAACCATCTATATTTTCAGCGCTGACTATTGACAGGGGCGTCGTTTTGTCTGACGTGCACAAAATCAGACCCGCTTGCCCCCTTGGCGGAGGAGCTCGAGCAGCCCGAGTAGCCCGTGCCACATCATTCACAGTAGCCAGCGCGCCGCAAAGTATGCAACGTCATGCGGCGCTGCGGTGCGTTTCATCATGAGCCACGGGATTGGGTGTGGGCATGGGCATGCGAATGGGATTGAGATGGGGTGGGCGAACTGTAGCTGAAACTGAAGCTGCGGCTGCTGCCTGGCAATGGCACGGGCAACGGGCAACGGGCAGCTGACATTGGCCAACGAGCGACTGGCAACTGGCAACATCACCGTTAGCAATGCTCGTGGGCGCGCCGGGCTACACGTCAAACACATTCATCACGAGTGCCAGAGTGACAGATGGCAAATGCGCCTACAGCTCGTTTGTTGCCCGATCTGAGAGGCAGAGCGGCAGCTGGAGCTGGAGCTGGAGTCAGAGCCAGAACCAAAGCCCGAGCCGGAGCCCGAGCCGGAGCCAGCGCCAGTCGCCTGCTTGGCCTTATGTCATTCGCAAGGGCAAAAGGACAAATGAAAATTTTCCAATTATTGCAGACACTCCGTCGACCTCGGCCTCGGCCGCGGCCGCAACGTAAATTTAACGCTTTAAACTGCCGACGTTTGGCATTATTCATGCGCGTTCTCGAAATCCGAATTCACAGAACTCAAATCATTTGTCAACGCACTCTAATATCTGGGCTGCGTATCTATGCATCTACAAGTTGAAAGACGTTCAGTTCAAGCCGGGCGGGTGTTAACGAATTTTCAGTTTCCATTTCCATTTCCGTAGCTGGCTACGGTTTTCAGTTTTTCAGCTTTTCCAGTGACGCGGCAGTTGATCAAAAACGCATTTTGGACTGTGTCAGCGTCAGCAGGGCACGATTTTAATAAAAGTAATGTGGCCACATGTGCGACTGACATGATTTGGCATTATCCTGCGACAGGCGCTGTGTATCGCATATAGCGAAAGTTACGAATTTCGGGGCCAGCTTTGCCATTACCATCTCGTTGCGACGGGTCAGGCACGGGCATTTTTGATAAATTTATTTTCAAATTTTCATTTTGCTCGCCTTAGACAGCATATGCTGGGTAATTACATACATATACGCTGCAAGTATGTAGAGTTGACTTGTATATATTGATTGAATTTCAAAGGCAGGATGAGGGAGGGGGGGAGGGGGGGGAGGGGGCAGGGGTAGCACAATATGGTATCGCAGAGGGCCGCACATCGAAGCCACTTTCAATTTCACAAACTACTCGTAAGCAGCTCGAAACTTTCGCTAATATCGAATGCTAAACGGTCTTTTGTGTTGCTCCAAAGCCACATGTGTGTGTGTGCGTGTGTATGGGGGTTCTGTGTGTGTGTGTGTGTAGGTTTTACGAGCGCCTGTTAACCGCGGGTATTTACACTAAGTCTAATGAAATGTTTAACAAGCACTTTGCTGTGCGCAAATCCCAATGACCCATAATATTAGCATAAAATCACTTGGCTTCCAGGCGAGGCTCTGCCCCGTGCCCCGTGCCCCGTGCCCCGTCAAGCGTGCCTCATAAATAGTTGGCGGCAACCTTGCTGTAAGTATGTGTGCGTGTGTGTAACTACTTGGTTAGTCTGCTGGCGTTGCATGATACGCTTGAGGGTCTCAAGCTAAATTTTCATTTAAATTGCGCACTTTAAAGTTTTTGGACGAGCGTGAAAGGCTTAACGAAGCGATCCCCAACTCTCAAATATATATATATACATATATATATAGGAGTACGTTGCCTATGCAGAGAGAGACAGACTTTTGGGTTCGAGTGTTGGCGTATTTTCAATTTCTGCGCATAAATTTTTATGTTGGTCATACTTTATTTGCTGCTGCTGCTGCTGTTGTGCTGCTGTTTGTTTCCACAAAATAAATTACATTAAAATTCTAAGCCATCAGCCGCTGTGGAAATTTATTTTTGCACATTATCCGCTTGCCGCAAATTGTGTTTATTCCGCAACGCTCGCTCCCGGGCAACAAAATTACAAAATAACAAAAAAACAACAACAAAATGCACAACAACAACAACAACAACAACAACAACAGAAACAGTAGCAGCAGCTGCTGACGTTTTAGTGGCAGTTGTTGTTGTTGTTGTTTTTGTTGCTGCTGCCACTGACCAAAGTTGTAAAGTATCCTTCAAGGCAATTAGTTTATTTGTACAATTTCATTTCATTTAGGCTGCCGGAATTTTAATGCGTTTCATTAAGTTTCTGCGTAAATTTTATACTTTTATATGGGTCGAATGGGGGCTGGCAAAGTCTACCAAAAATTACTGAAATCAAGGGAATATACAAAATCACGAACTTGTGATATTCTTCTTTTGGCTCTTAAATAAATAAAACCAGTAAATATTAATATTAAGCACAAGTCAGCTGAGTTAATTTTTGGTGCTTTTTTTATAAACAAAAACCAATAAACAATAAATAAACACAAGAAAAGTAGCTGCTTGACTGTGTAGCTTTTTTAAGAACCTACAGCTACAATAATTAGTAGGCTTTGCTATCGCCTTGTTTTCTTTTCTTCGAGGCTTTAACTTGTTGGGAATTGCAAGCGTTAAGCAAGGAAAGAAGTTATTATACATATAGTAGTACATATACAATAGTAAAAATTGATAATATAAGTATTTGGAATATTTGATACGCAGAAGAAATTACTTTTTCATTTCTGTGAAAGCCCGCAAAAGTCGTTTCTGTATTTTTAGTAACGAAAAATTCGAAGAAAATGTTATGCAAACAATTTCAAAGTATTTTTCCTTTAAAAACTAACCAGTTCTATAAAGTAACTTAATTAACTATTTCTTTGTAATGTTACGCGCTGTATTTAAAATATATAAGACACTTATGTTTATCAAAATTTCTTGGAATTCGTTTATTTGGAACAGACCAACAAGACCAGTTTGGGGTATTCCTTTTACAATAACTGAAAATTAACTTATTTTAGAAGTTGTTCAGGAGCCAAATACCGAGTAAAAATATGTACTAGTTTAATAACGAATTAAAATTTATTATTTTTATGTATTGATTTAAAATGTATTTAATTTATTTTCCATTTAAAATATGTAAAGCTGCAAATTAATTTTGTGGACAATAATTATATTGTCTCTAATAAATTTTGATAAATTCCAGATGTATGTATTTGTTATGCTCCCAAGTCAAAATACATTTTAAGCGCTGTCCACAAGAATGTAATTTATACCAACACACGCACACACACACACACACAAACGTGCACGCAAACACAGCTATACGTAATACACATGCGAATGTACACACACACACACACACGCATATAGGCAATATTTAAGCAGGATTTGCTGCGATTTAAACAGAAAATTCGCTTAATGACATTATGCGACTTACTCAAAAGCAGTTCTGGCTTATTATTCCTTAAATAATTCGCTTAAGGACTGTAAAAGCGCGTTTTTTAGCAATGTTTTGGCTATGCAGGAAAAAATGTAAACACAGTATTGTATGATACACAAATAGAAAATCCACAAAGAGACGCGTTGAGCGCGCCGAGCGTCTCTCCGGGTGCTGGGCCCAGTTGAATTGACCAATTCGTTCACTTTGAGCACTTTTAGTTGGGCTTTTTCATTGTTCACACCGAGAACAGCAACAAAATGTTCAACTATATGCAAATTCTTAAGATTATTATTAAGTTTTAGCCTAAAAACAATATGCACGAAAAATTCACAACCGCACTAATTTCGATGACAGACGGAGAAGTCAAATGCGCTCTCAGCTTGTGTTCTGTTCCGATTCGCAGCGTTTCTTTCTGCGAGCGGGAGAGGGAGAGAGCACGCGAGAGCACAGTGCAGCTGTTCCAAGCGAGCTATCCGGGAAGAGGACATGCTGTCGGGGGTGGGCGACGGGTATTTGGCAACTGTCAAACTGACAGCTGACCTGAGGGTTTGTGTATCTCTGCAGAGCGCAGGCGCTGCTCTCGCATTCTGTTCCATTCACGTGCGTTTCACATCGTTAAGGACGCAGTCAAGGGCTGTCAAGGGTTGCTCCTGCTGCTGCCCACACCCCGCCCAGCCGCTTCGATACCGACAATTACCTGGAGAATTGGCATTAGCCCATTTTCGTTGCGTTATATATTGCGATTGTCATTTTGGAGCATTTCAGACGACCGTATGGCATTGCCTGCGCTGCTGGTGGTGCGGCTGGTTGTTGCCTTGTCTGGGCAGAGGCTGAGGAGGTGCACACATTTTGCCTGCAGGGTGTCTGGGCTGCTGTGACTTTCATTTCGTTCGATTACCAATAGACAGCCTCTTCACCCCCGCCCCCCTCTCCAGCACATGCATACTGCTTATGCAATTACATTTAAGTTTTGGTGTGTCTGATGTCTGGAGCAGGGGCTGCAGGCTGCGTTGCCTGTGACATGGAATTAATTTTCGATTTTATTGTCAGTTTGTCAACTGCTTAGTTGAACGCTGCCGTTGCGCCTGACTTTGATTTAATTGAGAATGCATGAATATGCAATTTTTAGCAGCAGCTCTAGCTCGTAAATGGCAGCTTTTATTGCCCGGTCCATTGAATCGGAAGTACTCAAAATTGTACGTTTAATAGTCCTGCTGAATGTACGTTACGATAGGTCAGCTTACCCTTGATCCAGCTGACTTATAGTTGTAGATACATATATATTCATACTCACACACTCACAAGCAATACGTATTCACATTCAAAAATACACACGCGCATTATTTATAATTTAAATAAATAATTATATATTTATATTTTTTACGACACCGTTTTCAAACACAAGAATGTGGGAACAGTTCATAAAGTGCTTCAATAAAGGCGGCAAGGCCAAGGGCTGCGATGCAGTCCAGCTAGTCGATCTATATAAGCGGGTGCCGCCCAATCAGCGCAAACAGTTCAAGGCGTTTGCCGAGAAGAATGAAGAATACAAAATGTAAGTGTTATTATTAGATGTTCACAATAATGGGAACATTAGGTATCTGTTGTGTCTGTCTGGTCTGCCAAGCTTGTTATAAGATTCTTAGCTAAACTTCATAACCTTCCAAAGGCGTCTTCGGAAATATCCACCAGATTTGCCGGCAATCGATTGGGCGTTCTATAAGCAGAATGTGCGGCAGGAGATGGTCAGTTGGGTGTTGGATTTCGAGAAGAAATACGACAAGCTGGACAGCATGTTTACAAACCGACATTCCCTGATTGATCATTCCAAGTACTTTGGAGAGGTGATTGAGCAAACTAAGGAGGTCGCGAAGGAAGTCAAGAAGTTCAAGGCGGAATCGAACAAGCGCATCGAGCTGCTGGAGGAAAAGATGGAGCACTTGAAATGCATGAAGCCCTACGCGGAAATGACCATGGAGGAGTTTTGTCTAGCACATCCACAAGAGGCGCCAGACTTTATAAACAAACCCACCTTTTGGCCACATACACCCGAAGAACAGAAGCCCGGGCCATCGGAAGAGGTGGCGCATGAAGAGCCACCAGAGGAGCCTGATGGATCAGGCAAGCCAACGTCAAAAGATGATAAATCAGACCCGAAAACACCGCCAGCCGGATCTGCACCCGCAGCTGGTGATAAGCCTCAAGCTCCAGCTAGTGCAAAAAAGGACGCCGCAAAGGATACAAAGGATACCAAGGATAAAACGAAGGATACAAAGGATAAAACGAAGGATCCAAACGAAAAAAAAACCAGTCCTCCATGCGAAGCAGAAAAAGAAGAAAAACTTGCCGATGGAAAAGTAAAAGCTCAGGAAAGCCGTGAAAGCCAGGCGGTAGAGACTGCCGCACAATTTGCGACAAAGACTGTCGATTTTGCCAAAGATTTGGCCGCAAAGGCTGTTACCATGTTTAAGGGTCTCTGGCAGAAAGTCGGAGAGAAAAGAAAAGAGCTGGCGGAGAAGGAATCTGATAAAAAAAAAGCCGCTACATTGGCATCTAATACGGCGGCAAAACCGCAACCTGACGATGATGAGCATATCCTTAAAAGGGAGACCGCCTCCGACATATGCAACAAGACAATTATCCGAGGAGAGGATACAGCAAAAGCTGATGTGAAGCCGCATCATGTCGACTTGGATATCGAGGCGGATCCGCAACAAGATGAGGATAAGCCTTGTAAGCGAGATGGCAAGGCGGAAAAAGTTTGCCAGTCAAAATGTGAGGAGGCGGAGGAGGAAGAGTGCCAACAAGCTAAGGAAAGCTGTCCAGAGGAAGAGAAACAAGCGGCATGCGTGGAAGACAGTAAGAAAGATTTGGGTGAATGTGAGCAGCGTGAATGTGAGCAGCAAGAGGAAGATCCTTGCGTTCATTGGCACAAGATCACAGCCAAGCCAACGGATAAGCCCCAATCCCGTGAGCCAACCGACTGCAAACAAGTGGACATCACTTACAGCAGCACGGACTCGAAAAGTTTGTCACCTGTTCACCAGCTGCCTTTTGATGCACAGACATTTGGATATATATTGCCGGATCGCAAGGTAGCAGAAGGCGATCAGTTGCCCAAAAAAGGAACTGAAACACCGCAAGCCATTTCAGAACAACTAAAAGAGTCCGCAGATCCCAAGCAGGAGCAGCAACAGGTCATTGCTGACCCGGTTAAGCCAGCTAAGCTTAACGTTCAAGCTCCCCAAATCGTAAATGAGCCGAAAGCAGAAAACGCACAGGAGAATATTCCTCAAGGAACCAGTTCAGCAGTGCAGTTGAAATCGGAGGAAGATACGGACTATATGCAGGCCAATCAAGACACGAAAGAACCCGTCCAGGGTGTGGCGGCCACAACGATTGCCCTGTCGGAGGCTCAACAGGCCATAACCAGCTTCAAGGACGATCTACCAGAATCGGGCCAAGATAAGACGAGCAAATTGAGTCCGGAAGATGTGGCCAAGCTCGTTTTCGACATGGCAACCAGTGCTGCCTCTCTGCTGTCCGAAGCCAAAAAGATCATCGAAAGGGCAAGGCTGGAGAAGGGCGAAGGAATAGTTGCCGCCTACGAAAATGCCCAGCAGAAGGTGACTGTGGCCTTGGCCCAGGCATATAAGGCCTTGTCAGCGGCCAAGGAAGCGGGACTCGTTGATCCTACAGCCATTGCCCTGATTGAGAAGAACGCCATGCTGGCGCAGCTATTGGCTCATCGTGCCATCACCATGAAGAAGGAGATTGCCAAGGTTCTGGCTGATCTCAAGAGGAACAATTGAGTTTTTCAGCAGCTTGTCGTTGTTATTTAAATGTAGTTCAACTTTATGTTCGAACCGTTTTCATTAAATTTGCTGTTGGGTTTATATGCGAGTTGGCTTTGGTTGTGCGTATGTGTGTGGGTGTGTGTAGGTGAGTGGTGTGCTACATATGCAAATTTGAGGGCAAGCTCAAGCCCTGTGCAATAAATTCTGGTGCAAAATGCTAAGCGAAATATCGGAACTTTTGCTCGAGTGGCCGAAACTTTGCGGTGAATTAGCCAAAAATTTCACTTTGCCCAGCAAACTGCGCCAACAATATGCGTGTGTGTTTGTGTGAGGGTGTGTGTGTGTGTGTGTGTGTGTGTGTGGCCCGGTAGATTGCATAATTATGCAAATGTGTTGTTTTTCGGCATTCAAAGTGGCGCATTTGAAAGTGTTGCCTACTTGTTGGCGTTGGCGCTAGCGCACAATTTTCACAATCAAACGCATTTGCATAATTATACAAAGCACACGACCAACACCTCTGTGTGCGTGTGTCTATGTGTATGTGTGTGTGTGTGTGTGTGTGTGTGTTTGGGTGTTTGCTTTTAATTCAACTTTGATAGTTTGTTATAAGCTTTAAGCTGGCAACCCATTCGGGGCACTGGAACAATGGCTCGCTTCAACAATGTTGCGCAAAATCCGGCTTTGTTTTATTTCTATTTGTATACATTTATTTGTGAAAACTCTTCAGCTTATAAGATGCGTAATAAAATTCAATTTGGCAACTTCTTGAATGATAAAGGGCGCCCCGGTAAAATTTCCATTTGGCCCCTAATCGATTTCATAGGTGACAAAAGCATTTTGTAAGCCAGCCAGGTGAAGAGAGACAGAAGTCCGCACGCACAGTTAATTTGACTTTTGGGACAATTCTCGTTTCGCTACATTTGCATATCTTTGCAAGGCGCAAGAGAGGCTGTTTTGTGATTAGGCTGAAAGGGATTATTCATGAGCAGCCGAGTGCCCAAATTGTTTAAAGCATATCGTTAACGTAATGCCAGCCAATATTCAATGGGCCCCAGCCATTTGGCAGTCAAACCCAGCAGACATCGACTCCGACTCCGACTTCGACTTCGACTCCAACTTGAACTCGAGCCCATCCTCAAGTTCAAATTCAATTCTGACTGGCAGCCAGCCCTGTGGCGCAAGCCAAAAATATTTGCCCATAGTTGGCTTCTGGTTTTATGGCTTTATGTGCACTTTGGTTGACAATTGCCCGCTGTTTCTTGTTGGAAATATAAAATATGGCCATTATGTTTATTGTTTTCTATATATCGCAGACAGGCGGCAAGTTGCAAGCTGCATGCTGCAAGCTGCAAATCGCTTGTCGCCAGTCGCTTGTCTTTCGCAATTTCCAATTGAAATAGATTTCTTTTTGGCAAATGCTGGCAAATTGTTGTGGCATTCCCCTGCTTGGCAGCTGTCCAGGCATAATTAAAAGCGCTGACATTTCAGAAATTCTATTCTAACTATATCATCTACATACCATCTAGCATAGCATGTAGTAGCTGCTCTTATTAGCTCTTACCTGCGGCAACTACATGTGTTTTACAGTGGCTCATTTGTGGCAAGTTGTTGGCATTGCTCGCATAATTTGGCCAGCTAGTTGCGTGCCAGGTTTGTTGTTTATAGCCGCTCGCTCTTTGTGTGCGTTTGCCTGATTAACGTTTTTATGGCTGCGCAAATATTTGAGCCAGTTTTTAATAGCCCACTTCTGCGCCCAAGTTATGTGCAGAAAAGCCTAATTAGCAGCATTTAACTAAGCCTCACGGCCTCGCCGTGTGTGTGCTTTGTGCTTTGTGTGTGCTTTTAATGCGACGTGATCGTGGTTATTAAAACAACAAAGCCATATAGCCTATAAGGCCAACCTGAGGCTTTACCCTTGTTAGACCTTCTACCCATTACAAATGCCTAAAGCGGGTATCATAGTACATTGTCAATGCATGGCACAGGCAATGGAAAAGTGCGTAGACAAATGTACATATATTTGAATCTCTCTCTCTCTCTCTCTCTCTCTCTCTCTCTCTCTCTCTCTCTCTCTATCTATTATGTGTCCTTCTGTATGGTTCGTAGCACTCTCCGAAACTATACTTAAAAATGTATTTCTCGAGTATAAGGCAAACAGAATTTGGTGTGCAGGCTTTAATATACTTTTTCTTTGTATACCTATTTTATATAAAAGCAGCTAGATTCCAGAATTCCAATTTTTATTTTAATATGACCCGAAACTTAAATTAGGCCAGTTGCTTAATAAACAGACAACCCGAAAAAGATTCAATTTAAGAATTTAAAAATAAATAGCTTTTAATGGAAACTTCAGATCCAAAGCATAAATATCTCACGCCCCAGATATTTAGATGCCAATTTGGGTAGAGATTAAATGTAGCCCTCGAACTCTGCGTGAACATATTTACGACCTACAATAATTTCAGAAGAAAGGGCAGTAATAAATTAAAAATTCTTGGAGTTGGTTCAAAGTATACGCTGAACCACCTGCTAATATATACATTGTCTTGCTAGGGAATCTTAAAAGCGATCGCACACAAAAGAGTTGGGTTCTTAAAACTAGGAGCAGAGGGAAAAGCTGAGGAAAGAAGCAGCACAGTGTATGGGGATATTATGTGGGGATATATCGAAGCCGAGAGTACAGGTATCTGCTAGTTGGGAACTCTCTCTTGTCGTAATAGTTTCTGTTGTATTTGCTGGCTGCCAGGAAAATGTAAATTTCAGCTGAGTAGCTCGACAGGCGCCACTGGCGGCCCATTGCTTACACGTTGTCCGCGCAGCATGGTGCCAGTTTCAGTAGCAGTGACAGCGGCAGTAGCAGTGGCAGTGGCAGTGGCAGTGGCAGAAGCAGTAACACTGGCTGTGGCAGTGGCAGTGGCAGCTTGATTAGTCCAGGCTGCTGCGTTGGCGTTGGCGTTGGCGTGTGTCCCTGCTCGGCCGCCGCTCGCATGCGATAGAAGCAGATTCAGAGGCAAAGGCAAAGGCAAAGTCAGCCGCAACACACTTAACGACGTAGTTAGCGTTAGTTAACGTATGTACGTGATATCGTTAAACTGGTATAACGTTACCAGACCCCCGTAGCATAATAAGTGTCTTATTAGTTATGCCGCAGCAGCAGCAGCAGCAGCAGCAGTCGAAGCCAGTTAGTACGATTATTTCTGGTGCAACTGGAGCAAGCCAACCGTGGGCATCACGTGCCGGAATCGGAGCTATATAGAATCAATGATGCCCTCTGACAGTTTCCATGTGACCATTGCAAATTTGCATAGAACATTGTATTTACACAGCCCAACGACGCCTTGAATGACAAGTGGTGGGAGGTGATGAGCGGGGAGTGGCTGAGACGTAGGCGATCGGAACACACTAGAAGCTATTGAGCTGATATCAAGCGTTGGAGTGTTGGTACGGAATGGCGCACTTCAATTAGCCGCCCAATTCGAATCAGCAGCTGGCAATTGATGAGCGTCAATGACTTTTAATTAATTCAGGGCAAATATTGTGCAACAACAATTGAAAGTTTTTAACTGCAAAACCAAGCCAGAAGTCCAAAACAAACAAACAACAAGAACTGAAATCTATTTGCACAGTTAAGGGCCAGAATGCTGGCCGTAAAATAATATATATGTACATAAAAAAAAAAAAAAACGAACCCCCAAAGACGAAGATGAAATTAACGCGGGGCCAGCGAAATGAAAATTAAATTCCAAACAGCCCTCGGGCCTTCCCACGCGCGAGTAGTGAGTGGTTGGCTGGAGGTCCTGAGTCCTGGGTCCTGGGTCCAGTCTCAGGTAATCGCAAACGTGTAGTATTTACTTTTAACGTTGCTTGTTTATTTTTTAATTTCCTTCCAATTAAGCAACAAACAAGCCGCGCGTGCCCAACACCCCACCTACAATCGTCCTCCCTTGCCGCCAAAGCGCTGACGTTGGCAATAAAAAACGCGCAGCTTTCGCAACAAAATGAAACGAAATGAAATCTATTCACAGTTACGTAAACGTAAACGCAAACGCAAACGCAAACGTAATGAAAACACGTTGGCACAATTCATTTAAAATCTACATCGGACACCAGGACAAGAAACAGAAACCAGCCAGAACAATTTGGAATTCCAAGGACAGGGAGACGCTAGAGGAGACCCAGGCCACAGGACACAGGACACAGCTGTATGCTTTTAGGCGCATTTGTGGTTAATTTCCATGCGCACGACTTGCGGCTCTGCCCGGAGAAAAGAGTCCGATCCCTTCTTGTCCCTGTGGACTCATTACTTATGCACAGCTCGTACGCATAAATAAAACATGTCAAACGAGTGCAAGTCAAAGTGACTTGCGGCTGTCGTCTCAGCTTGGGCGATATACCCAGATCCCCCCTCACACGGACTAGGGTAAACACATTATTTTTCGTAGGCAGCACGCATAGAACTTTACGACGGGTTCGACAATTAGTCAGCCGGTGGTTGGAATATCTAGTTAGAATTGAAGATGGATCCTATATATTCACCAAGAGCTATATGATCCCTTTTCTTTGAGCAGCAGGGATAAATATATTTATAATATATAATATAGAGGCAGAACTTGCACGACATAACCATAGAACAGCCGCAATTAAATATCTTCCAAGTGAATATTCTTTGTAAAAACAGAAAATAAAATGTCAATGGAAGAGGATCTAATAAAATAGCCATTCGTTCGGTTGAATAGTGGAAGCTAGTTCGAATCTCCGGTCTGGTGTATTGGTCAGTAGTAAAAAGTATACAAAAAGCCTTTGTGTGTATATATATATTTTTTTGTTTACATTTCTATAATTTGTAGACAATATTGAAACATACATCGGTTAAAACTTCAGTTGGGATCAGTACATTATGTGGACACTCACAATTTGGTACATAAATAGGAGCGCAATGGACATCATCTGGCACATATACAATTAAATAATCAGCCCACATCTCTTCTTCATGCCGTCACGGTCATACTGGAAACAATTTGGAACATATAGCAGAGAAACGTTTTAATATCTGAAATCGTCCGATATCTTCGTCCAAAAATTTATTTGCAAGCCAGTTGGTGCATGAACTGAATAATCGTGCGTGTGGGGCGTCCAGTCATGCGATCCCGCAGCAGATATGGTGGCACGCCATGTTCGGCCAGCATGCCTGTGCCCCGGGTGTCGAGATGCACCCAGTCCAGGCAGGGTACTAGCTGGTGCAGCAATGCAGCCGTTAGGCACGAGGAGGCGGGTCCTTGTCCCTCGTTGCACATGTCGTAAGTCATCTTTGGTTCAATTAGATGCTTGAAGTATTTCCAAAGCGGCATGCGCCAGACACGATCGCCGGTAATTGAGCCCGCCTTCTTGAACTGCTTCCACAGGGTGCTGTTGTTTGTCCACAAACCTGTCGAGGAGGCACCCAACCCATGCCTAACACCTCTGGCGTAAGTGCCGAGGTCTAAGAGTAGTTTGGGCTTCATTGTATTTTGCGCAAAGAGCATCGGATCGGCAAGCATTACCGCGCCGGCAGCAGAGGTATTCTTAATGCACAATGTCTTTCCGTTCAACAGGGAGATCACATCACCTGGCTTAGCCGCCATGCCCGAGGGCATGTTCTCGCAGAGCGGCAACAAGGCCGACACATTGATGGGCAGGGATAATGCTGCCGCAGCTCGAATAGAAGCCACAACAGAGGCTGCTCCGCTGACGGCGGCACGATATTCGTGCAGGCCTACTTTGCTCTTCAGGCAGAGACCGCCGCTGTTGAACGTTAATCCCTTGCCAAGCATGAGCAAGGGCCGGTCCTCGGGTGAGCTGCCGCAGTAATGGATCTCTAGCACAATGGGTGGCTCACAGGAGCCCTTGGCAACCATCAAAAACGAATTGAGACCCTGCGCCTCGATCCAGTCCATAGAGCGGACTTCGACGGTAACACCGCATGGGCACAGCGAATCAATTGTGGCCTGTGCGAAAATAGAAGGCGTCATCTGGTTGGCCGGCGTGTCAGAGAGACGCCTCGCCAGATTTTGAGACTCGGCCTTGAATAGGCCGCGTGTCCAGGCATCTACATCCGCCGAGCCGTACAACTCAAGCTTGGGTATATGCATGCGGTTATTCTTTCGTTTGTTTACATTGTAGCGCCAAACGGCCATGGCAGCCCCCTCGGCCGCTTGCTCCGGGTACTCCATGCCGTCGACGAACACGGTCTGTGCGCCCTGATACTGCAGAAATCTTGCGCCAACTGCTGCGGCAACTCGTGTGTTTTCCATGCCCACATCGAGCACTTCCTCGGCATCGTAGCCGACACCCTCCTGTCCCAGGCCAATAACGGCCACAGATGAGAATTCTTTATCCACATTATTGAACATTCGACCCTCGCCCAACTCGCCAATCATGTTTGTCTCTCTGACCAACTCGGTGATCTTTCCGCCAACGCGATCATCGAACTTTTCGCCGTTCGGCGTCAACTGAGGGTCCTTTTCGCCTTCCTTGAGATAGAGTCCAATGACAATGCCATTCAACTCGCACTTGGTGCGCACTTGCATGCAATGCGCTCTGGGTATAAAGGAAATGACGCGGTTGTAACGAAGCAGTCCCATAAATGATTTGCCATGACATATCGCTTGTGATCTAGCCATAATTATTGATTTAGAACGCGCTCTGAACTTATAAAAAAAAAAAAATAGTATATAAATTAAATACTTGCACTTCAATTTACAGATATATCGAAAAGGAAGAAAAACTTTCACGTATAAATAATATTCTGTTTTATATAAAAAAAAAATCCAGTGCGCTACGTTTAACTTAAACCGAGAAACTGACTACATGAGTTTAACACTTTTGCCAAATGGGCTATTTGAAGTTTCAATTTGGTGAACTTTGATTGAAACATAATTTCAACAGATTTCTACGCTAGGTGCCAAAGCAAACCACAACACATTAGCACTCGCGTGTCTGACGTCCGACGGAGCAATATGCGCGATTTTTAAATACCCTTTTCAAGGAGCGAAATAAGTTAGTTGGTTTTGTGGAATGTTCAGCTTATTGGTCTTTCGTCTTTTTATTTTTCAACTTTTCTTACGCTTAGTATTTATATGTTTGTCAGGTTTTTCAGCGAATTATATTTATATTTTTTTAGTCATATTTTTTATAATTATATAGTTATATCTATATATTTTGTATATTATCTTTACATAATTTATATTTTTGTATTTTTATATTTTATATTCGTTTTATATTCGGCATTTTGCATTCGAATTTTAGATGCATACTATATAGAATTTACGGTTGTATTCCAGAAAATTATATCTATATTTTTAACATTTATTTAACTTTAATTTCGGGATATTGATTTTATTTTAATAACAAACACGATATTCAGTCCATCCCAGACGAAGTGTATGCAAATTACGGACAAGCCGATTGACAAGCTGGCAACTTGTTGAAAATTCCGGCGACAATTATGACACTTACGGATTGCAGCGAGCTTAATACAAGTTGCAATTTTTATGTGCATGATTAAATTTGCAATTATATGAATCAGAAACAACAACAACAACAACTGACATAATGAGAAATTTGCTGGCGCGAAAATGTCGAGACTGCAAAAAAGTGCAGCGCGGCCGCAGACGAAACACGTAAAAGCAATAAAGCAATAAATTGCCCAATTTGAAGGACTATTGTAGCCAATAATTTGCACAGCCACTTGGCCGGTTGGTTGGCCGATTGGTTGGCCGGCTGGTTGGTCGGTTGCCTGGTTGGCCACTCACACACTTACACACGCACACACGCACACTCACGCATACGTGTGTGCATGCTGCGCTTGTGCCCATATAATTTCAACAAAAATATGCACATTTGTCAATGTCGCGTGATTGATGTGGTCGAACGCATTTCCGCCAAGCAGCCGCCGCGACGGTGGAGCCGAATAAAAAAAAAAAACAAAAAACAAACACACACGTACAGTAAACAACATGTAATGCAACACACACACACACACAGAGAGCTGCAAATGAAAACACAGAGAAACAATTTTTTATATGTATATATATATATAAATATCCAGAAAAAAAGTATATGTTGGCGTGTGTGGCCCCAAAGGATGCTGGCGGCTGTGTTGGCGACATTACGCGATTTTACGCATGATTTAAAATTAATGACAGCAGCGGCGGCGGCGGCGGCGGCGGCGGCGACGTTGGTGACGGCGACGGCAAGAGAGTTGTAGCATACTGCTTACACACACACACATACACGCATACCTACACTTATGCGAATATAAACAACACACCTTAGCCCCTGTACATGTGTGGAGTCAGTTGCCATGCAGGATGTTTAATTTCCTAAATGCATAAATCTCACTAATACGCACAACAAAATCTAAGCGCGGCTTATGCGATTGCCGCTTTTTTGTGTCTAACAGCAGCAACAGCAACAACTGCCATAGCTACGAGCACAACATCCGAAAATCATAAACAAACTTCAAAGGACATTTACAGCGGACAGTCGACAACTGCCCAATGCTGGCGAGAGAGCACAACCAGAAAAAATGTCAACCAATGTTGAGCTTATTACGCACAGATACGCGGCACACACACACACACACCAAGGCAACCACAACAATTCAGCTTCATTTGTGCTGCGGCAAACACACACAAACAAACACACTCGCACACTCATGTTGCATATATATTCGAATTCGTTACGTGTACGCAACGTTGTTCGTACCTGTGCGGCGATAACGGCCTACTTGCCCACGAAAAGCTTTCATTTCTATTTCCGTTTTCACTAAACGCCGCCGCACAATGCCCACTTTAAACTTACGACTGTTTTGGCTGGGTAGGGGCTGATTGTGGCAGTGTAAGAGGGAGGGGCTGGCTCAGCTCACCTTTTTGCCGAGCTGCGAAACCGTGCTGCTTGTTCGTTTCGTTCGGTCGTTCGTTCATTTGTTTGTTTGCTTGTTTGTTTGTTAGTCAGTTTGTTTGCCGGTTTATGCTTTAACCTACGGAAAATTGCCAATTGTTGTTGGCATGCAAATTTATGGCTTATTTGTTTTGCCTTTTGTGTATGTGCCTGGAGTGTGTGCGTGTGTAGAAGCCGCTTACTACACGTCAACCCTTTTCAGAAGACTAATTCGTTTAAGCAGGAGCGTTTCAGCAAAGAAGCAATTGCTGCAAATTCTTGCACACTTGAGAAATAAACCGAATTGTACCAAAATTTAAATGGAATTCAGTTGCAAAAAATATATTTTTTGCATTGCTAGTTGATTGTATTTTGTATTATTTTTTTGTATCAATATTTGCCACAGCAAATTGTTTAATGTAAAAACAAAAATCCAACTTTCTATTAAATTTGGGCCACATTTAGGGCGCCATATAAGCCCGCCCCTGTTAATTTTTATAGCAAGTTCTCTCATTGTTTTGCCGCTTTTTGACCCAAATGCCGGAAGTCAGACGATGGAAAAAGCAAAAGGCTTTGACCTATCAGTAGATTTCATTAACAGAAATTTAGATAAGCATTAGTGTTGATGCCAACCGAAGGCGTGGACGTGGATTCGGGCGTGGATATAGATGTGACTGTGGATGCGAGTACCTCGATGTGGTTTCCTGTCTGTACAACATTTTTTGGCGACTTTAATGTGCGAGCAAATAACAAAGTAAATGTTGGTTGCCAGTGGAGAGTGAGTGCAGCATCTGGAAAATGGAAAATCTCTGGCGACTCGTAAATTTGCTAGTTGCATAAATCAGGCAATTGAATTCTAATTTTTGGCTCACATTGCAGACGGCCGGAGGAGAGCTTATTGTGCGTCTGCCTGGTCTGAAATCAATCATGATTTTTAATGCACAAATGGGAGCAATTACAGTCAGACGAGCAGACAAAAGAATTTACACTTGATTTATTGTTGTTTAGCCTGCAAGCTGATTGTTAATGTTTATTACAAGTCTGTGTGTGTGTGTTTGTGTGTGTGTGCCTGAGCCACAAACCTGGCAGAGAGGCATGGTCGAAATGCAGTTGAAGTCTTTTGTTCTATGCTGGCAGCTGCAAGTTCAATAAGCCACATGTCGTATGTGGCTGTTGTGCTTGTAAATAGTGCTGTATACCCTTACAGAGGTTATCATAAATATGTCCCTTAATATGGCATTTACACAGCATAAATTATGGCAGTTACTTTTAACTGAAACAAATATATTTTTAATTATGCAAATATCGAGTGCACTTCGAATTCTCTAAAGCTAAGTATAAAGTAATTGAAATACCAGAGTTCTTATGTATGAAAGACCCCGTTCTGTTTGATATGCTTGTAAGGGTATTGAATGGCGGGTCTGCCGAAATGTACACTTCTTTCTTGCTTTTGAAATACTGTGCTTGCTGTCCAGTAAACAATGCGACGGGTGAAAGTAAAAGCAGCAGCTAATTGACTGTTTACGAATCAATAAATCGTTTAAATAGGTACACATCTTGCCAAGCAATCAATTAGCACCTCCCCCGCCGCAGACAAAGCCAAATATTGTCTCATAGTTGGCTGTGCCGCATCTATAAAAGTGTTGCCCAAATTCGGCCAAGACAGACGCCGTCTAATGCTCGCCATGGCTAAGTTCAGTTCAGTGCTTATTGGGCTGGTGCTCAGCATTTTGAGCTGCTTGGCAGCCGCTGATCTACGCGCTGATCTGCGTGATTTTATGGCGCTGGTGCCGCGGCGTCGCATTAACCATATAGCGGCGCGATACTATATCTTCGATCCGAAGTTTCGGCAGGCTGTGGAGTTTTTGCGCAGCGATGAGTTCGCCAAGACCTGGCGGCAAATGCGCATGGCGCCGGACTTTGCCGATCTGATCGACTACGTCACGGAGTCCGGCTCCGGCTACGATGTGAGCAGCGTGGTAGACAAGCTGCCCAATCGGCTGCGTGCCTTTCAACTGTCGCGTGTGGTGCCCGTGGATATGATGTTGCGACGCGACTTGACCACATTTCTGCACGAGGCACTCCAGAGTCTGCCACGTGCTCAGTTCTACGGCTTGATGGTGCGCAAGGTGCGCGAGGGCGGCGACTTCGCCAAACTCTACAAGGCGCTGCGGGACAGGGAGTTCAGGGAGCTGGTGAACACGGCTCGGGTGAGTGTGGCGGGAAAAATACTTGTGAGCATGGAAATTTAACTTTTTTTAAGAATCGCCTTGCAGCATGCAAAGGACCTGCAGACGCCGCTGAACAAGCTGAGCAAAAAGCACATCAATGTGGATGAAATCATACAAATCGCGTTTGAGTTGATAAGTTGGGGCCCGCAGGTACGCTGAACGGTTGCCCCGGGCAGCAAAGTTATAATTAAGTATTTATGAATTAAATTCAAGCACATAACTCATTAAATAAGCGGCAAGCACAAAAACTCACACACACAAATGCACAAACACACTTAAAGTTAAGATGCTTACTCCGAAAACATGCAAAGTACGGCTTAAGTGCTTTTCAAACCGAAAATGCGACCGTGCCGGGGTCAGTTCCGGCACTAGAATTCAAAAAAAGGGTTCACACCCAGCCCAGCCGCATTTCGTCTTTAATTTCGGTGCGACGTGCCAGAAATGACAAGAGCTTTGAACTTTTGTGAGTTGTTACATCGATTTCTCACCAATTTTCTCGGCGAGGGAGCGAGCGAGGACAAAGCTGGCCCCAAAAGGACCCAGAGAACAAAGCCTCATTTGCAATATGGAGACAGGCTGCACAATAT